GGGCGAAAAACGCCACAAAAATAGGGGAATGTCGCCATACTCTCTGCACCCTCGGTCGGTTGTTCGGAATATGTAAATGTATCCTAGAATATGTTCAGCTACGCTTCTACAACGCCACTACTTAAACCAGAAGCATTTATTATCGTTGACCCACATTCACTTGTTATTAATTTTGTCCTACTTCCACGGAGGCTTCTTGCTAATTCATATAGAAGTTTGTTCTGTTCAGTACATCAATCTCGACGATACTTCGTATGACTTTTATTATCGGTAACCATTTCCTGTTACATTCTGCGAATTGCCTTTCCGACATACTCTTTGGTGTACACAGATTATGGCAGATTATTCGATTGGGGAAAAGATATTGGAAGAGCGGTTATATGAAAACGAAACCAATCGTCCTCCTGAACCAGATCATGTCGTAAATTTGAAACATGGTGTCGTTCGCGAGGCTTATGAATTGTTCCTTACTCACTTCGGTGCTAGTCCTGTAAATGTGAGTTGATAACTAGGAATTACTTAGCGATAAAAGTATCCTTCCTTTTAACCCAATAATTTTCGAACTTCACTAAATCCAGGAATTGAAAGCTGCAGCTGCTCCTGGACGGGTGAACCTTATTGGAGAACACATTGACTACTGTGATGGATTCGTTCTTCCCATGGTAGGTGAGCATACTTCATGTAAAGTTGCAAAAATTCTGCTCGGCTCATCTCTACCTTTCACTTATTGAAAAAAGCCTTTTTTCAATTATCACTTCACAACACAATTTTGGTGTCTCTTTAGTATCAGTAGTTCCTCATGCCTCATAGTTCTTTATGATTTGCGGTTTGCTCTAGTCCCCAAATACGTCTGTCAAACATTGATTTGCTTCTGCTGTATTGAAATTTCTTTCCAGGCAATTCCTCTCTACACTGTCGTGCTTGGTCGAAAAGCTTATGATCAGGAACGTGGCTCCACCGATGTGTTCTCATCCCATTTCCCCGATCCTATTGTGATTCGTCGACCGTATGATAAAATTGTCCTTGAGGTTCTTATTGTTTTTTGTTTTTGTCTTTGTCTAAAGCACATTCTCTGTTTAATCACTACAGGACGTAACATGGGGAAGATACATTCAAGGAGTTCTTGCATTAACCGGATGCAATTTATGCTTTGATGTTGTCGTGCATTCCAGTATCCCCTTAGGAAGTGGTCTCAGTAGTTCTGCCGCTCTCGAGTTAGCATTATATCACTTCGTCTCACAATTTTTTCCTGGTGAGATTTTTCCTAGTACGTTCTTTGTGATCATTTTCGCAGCGCATAGACTCACTTTAGAGCCTTTACCTAGAGGGGTGAGGAGTGCAGAGTTGTGTCGTCGGGTTGAGCACGAGTATGCGGGAGTGCCTTGCGGTATCATGGACCAATTCGTTATTGCCTTGGCCGAGCATGGCCATGCTCTGCGTATAGATTGCAGGTATCTCAGATATAATTCTTTTTCAGTGATTTTAAAGCTAGTTTAGGCCAAAACAAAGTAGAGCCTGTTAGTTATCTAGCGTACTCGACTATAATGAACTATAGTTATAAGCTCCTTTCAGATCCCTCTCATATGATTTGATTCCTATGAGCATATCTCATGACGCTATCTTTCTAATAATCAACAGTGGGGTACGGCATAAGCACGCAGGTGGTGAATACGCAAAACGAAGAAAAACCGTTGAAGAAGCACTACGAGTGTATGTTCCTACTGGCTCTTTATTTTGCTTTTTTCAGTCTTTTTTTAATCTGAAAAATCGAATGAAGCATGGTTTTTAGATTGAACGCAGCTTCATGGCGCGATGTTACTCACGAACTAGTGCAAGAGAAGTCGTATTTATTCGATGCATTCACGTTGGACTGTATCGTGCACGTCGTAAGCTTCTGCTGTTGTTTTGTTTTTGCTCAGACAGAAAGTGGACTTTGATTTCCTGTCGTTTTGGTTCTTAGGTTGACGAAATTGAACGAACGGTGAAGGCCAGCGAGGCTCTCCTAGATAATGATATTACCCATTTTGGAAGATATATGTGTGAGGGTCACAATTCTCTCAAGTAATCTTTATCATTATTAGACGTGTGTTGTCAAGAATGAAAACTATCAATGTAGGGACAAATATCGTGTGTCGTGCCCAGAAATTGACGAGTTAGTATCTCTCACGATGTCATGCGACGGGGTTTTCGGCTCACGGATGACTGGTGGTGGGTTTGGTGGCTGCACAGTGTCGCTTGTCAGGAAGGAGAATCTCGAAGATGTGAAGAACTTTATAAGGGTGAGTAAGTAGACATCGTTTTGTTGATTGATTTTTTTAGAAAACAGTGTCGAAGCATTAGACTTCACAGACGCTATTGTCTGTGAAATCCAAAGTCCGTGTTTTAATTTGCACTCTTGAACTTTTAAGAAATATATTTGTTTACTTTTACTTCTACGAATCAAGTTTGACTTTAGGAGAACTACAAGGGTGGTACTCCGCTTTTCTTCGAAAGTGAGCCAGTATCACACGCAAGTGCAGTGCAGTTAGAGTTTCTTGGCATGTGAGAAATCGCACAAAGTATCCAATTGTACTGCCATTTTCTGCTCCACATGAAAGTCAACTACAACGTAACTAATTTTAGTCATATTAAGCTTTCAAATGACTTATAATGAATTTTTACCTGTTAGGAAATGATGCTGTTTTTGAGATACGGTTTGCATAGATTCTATTGTTGCATTGTAGTCATCTATAGATTGCACTTATCAAGTTCGATACGTGTCATAAGTATGTAAGGGAAATGACGTATAGTGTATAACAAATGTAAAATAAAAGTTTTATGGTTTTTTTCACAGTAGAATCTCCTAGTAAACCCTTGATGTTTGTCAATACTAGCACCGTTTTTAGACGAATCTCAATTAATTGACCAATCTCATGAATGAATGAATTAATTGTTTTGTTGAATGGTATGGGATGACTGCTGAGCAGAGTCCAGTAACTTGGCAATGATTAGGAGTTTGTGGAGATTGGGAACGTCTACAAAAGAGAGGTCCAGTTCAATCGATTGACTAGGAAAAGATTTGGTGTTGAACATAGTTAGGCAATAAACCAGGACATCCAATTGCGCTTCTATGAAGCATACGTATGTATCATGAGTTCAAAAATCCCTCACTTGATTAGTGGGA